CATATGGCAGGTCCACCAAATATGAAGGACATCACCAGCGACCTGGCACCCTTGAAAGCATAGGCCTGAATGGTCAGGGAGAATATGGGCTAGTCTAGTAGGGATTATGTACCATCTGGTCATCACTTTAGTGGATTCCAGAGTGGTAACATTAATAGTGTAGAAAGCAGTGGAGGACCAAAAGGCTTGCCAGTCCAGGTAAAGACTTGTGAGCTTTTAAATCTTCCTCCCACTGAGTCACATAGGCATGGACTGTTGGTTCGGATAATTGGTTGATTTGGGAGCATACTAGGGAGATAAGCTTATAAGTCAGTGGGGTGTGCGGTGGCAGGTATGTTGGAAAACAGTTAGTGGTGTGGAGAGGTCTTTTTCCTGAGTTTGACTATTTATTCAATGCCTAATCTGCATATATTGAAAGAGCTCAGGCATTAGAGCTTTAAATCATTCTCTGATGGTTTGCCTTGAGATGATGGAGCCCTCCTCTAAAAAGTAAAGGACGCTGTTGAAGCTGTGCATGGTTCACCAGCAAAAAGAATGAGTGAAGTCAAGACCTGGTGGAAAAAGAGGGTTGGCCGTGAGAGGAAGCAGGGGAACATAGGGAGAGAGTAAAGTGCTGGAGTATTTAATGCCATCCCAAACCTTTAGTATACGCTTCATGAGAGGGCTCAACCCCCTTCTGCTTTTATGGACATCTTGACCATTGGATATTTAGACCTATGTTGGTTGGAAAAAGGGGGTTGCCTGTGAAAGGAAGCAGGGGAACATAGGGAGACAGTAAAGTGCTGGAGTATTTAATGCCATCCCAAACTTTTAGTATATGCTTCATGAGAGGGTTCAACCCCCTTCTGCTTTTATGGACATCCTGACTATTGGATATTTAGACCTACGTAGTATTGACGGGGGGATTAACATACAGTAAGTCAAGTGATTAGGAATGTGTGTGATGACTTTTACTATAATAGATCATAAGACCTATTTGATCAAAATCTTACTTTATCTATTAAAAGTGTATGTCCAGGCAAAAAAACAAAAAATTGTCTATGTAATGTCGACATGTAAACAATTAGGTAGCCACATTCCTTCCCTCATATTATTTCTCTTATTTTACATATTTGGTATAAATTCTGCCAGTAAAAGTCATGATCGGCCACTTGCTTTGTATGGTTGACAGTGCTGTTGTCATAGAAGGTCTCTCTCTCTAGCAGAGGCACCCGCCATCAAATCTGAATGATGTGCTGCTGTGAAAAAAGCTGAAATTCCCCTTCCATAATTTTACAAAGTCTAAAACCACTTCAATTTGGATGATAATTAAAAATTATTTACAATTATTAACCTTAGGTAAAAGGGTTCACAATTGTTATTAATGAACCTTTATCTAAGGTACTCATAGACATATAATGATTGTTGATCTACAGCAAACCCTATAGGAGCGGCAAGCCCACTGTCTCAACTGTGCCGATCCTTCTCAGAAGTGTTTCCCCTTTTTATATGCAGAGCGACTTGGTCTGTAATAAGTAATGCACAGGTCAGTAGGTAGTAATTCAGTTTGAGGAGGTCAGTAGGTAGTAATGCAGAGTGCATGGGCCAATAAATAGCAATACACAGTTCAGAGATCAGTAATAACTAATGCAGTGTGCATGAAAAAAAACATATAATTCATCCTCAGAACCCCACCGTGCTGACCCTCCTCAGAAGCCCTTCTCCTCCTTATATACAGATTCGTGCAGCAGCAAGATATTTGTGAGTGTGAAGAATCATTGCGGGGAGCAGCGCTAGAACAAGTAGTAGTAATATATGATAGCCAAGCCAGAACTCAACCCAGCCAGCCAGGCCAGGCCAGAACTAAGTCTAGCCAGCCAGGCAAGAATGCAACGCAACCAGCCAGACCAGAACCGAACGCAGCCAGACAGACCAGAACCGAACGCAGCCAACCAGGCCAGAACGTAACCCAGCCAGCCAGGCCAGAACCTAATCCAACCATCCAAGCCAGAATTTAACCCAGCCAACCAGGCCAGAACTTAGCCAGCCAGCCAAGTCAGAGCTCAACCCAGCCAGCCAGGTCAGAATTCAACCCAACCAGTTAGGCCAAAACTCAACGAAACCAGCTAGCCAGGCCATAATTTAACTTAGCCAGATACCAGGCCAGAACAATTAAAAGCTTCAGTTCACGAAAAACTAGAATTTCAGCATTCCCCTGACAATTTCTTATATCTCCTGAGGACTAATAATGAGAGCTCTGTGCTGTGTTTCTGCCTTTGCACATCTCTCTACCCACTATAAGGGGCTCCCAATCTGCCCCTTAAACTTTGGGTCAAAATCTTTAGAAATCTGAACAGTCACACCATCCCTCTCTTTCTGGACACTCTTCATTAACTTGTTTGTGTTTTCAGATTCTTGCTTTCTCCAGGCTTCTGTGGTTTCCCAGGTGGCTCCCATATCCATTTGTGTTATCTCTCTGTAAACTGTTTGTAATGAATTAGAAGCGTTGTGGTCTGATACAAATCTTTAACCAAACATACAGATCTGAGTCACAGCTTGTCCAGTAGGAGAGGTTAGGTGGGTTGATAAAATCAGCACCATTTCATTGGCAGCTGTTATGCATTTTCAGTAAATGCATCATCTCCATTATTAAAAGTGAACTCCAAGCAAAGAGCTACAGTTAGGTCTATATACATAAATACGGAGGTTACCTACACATATGGGGTTTGTTTTACCAGCCAAGTAATTTGTATTACTGTCCATCCAGTCCTGTGGTTTACATAGCTCCATAGCCTAGGGCAGACAGGCGGTTGACATTACCTACAATCATGGAATACAGTGGTGTCCTCTCTACAACCCTAGCTTCAGTCATAATAGACGTGCTGCAGATGCTCCTGCGTGACGATCTCCTGCACACATCTATTACGAGTACCAATGTTCCTGCCATAGAACACCCTCCAGAGTCCCAGAGTCCCATAGAAACCATCATTTAAGCCTTGATGAAGGGGGGGGGGGGGGTCAGCCCCCAAAATGTGTTGGCTACCTTTTCTCTCTTGTTTCCACATTGACATCAGCAAGAAATGACGATGGTCTCCTAAGACAACCCTCTTCTGCTCCGTTTGACAATTTCATTTGGATTTCTCAATTTGGAGGCCATCACCCCTTGAGAGGTAGAGCTGCCGGGGTTAAGTCATCAAGCCAAACCAACACCTCATTTTTGACAAATATAAGACCCAAGTCCAGCACCCGACTTTTACTTTTTCTGAGATTTTTTGCCGTCTGTGTCCTTATTAGCAAGAATCAACCTTCTCTTTGTACTGATGACCATTGTCACCAAAACAGAAAGTGAGGGGGAAAAATTCAGTATTTTAGAATGATCACCAGGTTAGGGGAGATTGTCCAATGTTCCTTCCCTGACATAGAACACCCTCCAGGAGTCCATAGACAGAGTCCCATAGAAACCATCATTTAAGCCTTGATGAAAAGGGGGGAGGTGTCAGCCCCCAAAATGTGTTGGCTACCTTTTCTCCTCTTGTTGTCACATTGACATCAGCAAGAAATTGATTATGGTCTCCTAAGACAACTCTCTGGTGCTCCTTTTGTCAATTTAATTTGGATTTCTCAATTTGGAGGCCATCATACCTTGAGAGGTAGAGCTGCCAGGGTTAAGTCATCAAGCCAAACCAACACCTCATTTTTGACAAATAAAAGACCCAAGTCCAGCACCCGACTTTTACTTTTTCTAAGAATTTTTTGCCGTCTGTGTCCTTATTAGCAAGAATCAACCTTCTCTTTGTACTGATGACCATTGTCACCAAAACAGAAAGTGAGGGGGAAATTCAGTATTTTAGAATGATCACCAGGTTAAGGGGAGATTGACCAATGTTCCTACCCTGAAATAGAACACCCTCCAGGAGTCCATAGACAAGAGTCCCATAGGAACCATCATTTAACTCTTGATGAAAGGGAAGAGGTGTCAGCCCCCAAAATGTGTTGGCTACCTTTTCTCCTCTTGTTGTCACATTGACATCAGCAACAAATGACTATGGTCTCCTAAGACAACCCTCTGGTGCTCCTTTTGGTAATTTCATTTGGATTTCTCAATTTGGAGGCCATCACCCCTTGAGAGGTAGAGCTGCCGGGGTTAAGTCATCAAGCCCAACCAACAAATCATTTTTGACAAATAAAAGACACAAGTCCAGTACCCGACTTTTACTTTTTCTGAGAATTTTTTGCCGTCTGTGTCCTTATTAGCGAGAATCAGCCTTCTCTTTGTACTGATGACCATTGGCACCAAAACAGAAAGTGAGGGGGAAATTCAGTATTTTAGAATGATCACCAGGTTAGGAGAGATTGTCCAATGAGGTCACCTGTTCCTGGAACAGCTGTCCAAAAGGGGTACACAAAAAAAAAAACCCGGCGGGGGACTTAACCCTCACACACGCATACCATCTTTCAGCAGCTTAGAATACATAATAATAGAGTCCTGTAGTTAATGTGTTTCTTAAAGCTGAAATATATATTTTGTCCTTCCTGGGTTTTTTTCCCCATCCCACTTATCTATATGCTGCTTAATTGTTTTTAAATAAAACCTTTCCATTTTCATTGCATACCTTATATTAGACCTAGTGACATCATCATTGGTCTCTGTGATTGTCCATGCAATGCAGCCAGATCATGGCTAATGAGGGGCTGTGGCAGGGTGCTGCATATAGCTTTCTGAAAGCATCACAGCACCATGCCTATGCCTCTCAAGAGCCCTCAGCCTTAAGTAAATTGGGTTGGGTTTTGAGAGGAGTTATGCAAATATCAAAATGCCGTGATGGGTGGATATTAGTTTAAGTGGGCATTCCTAGGCAGGCTGGATTTGCATGCAGATCGACCTAAGTAATGACCACATATGATGCTGAATCTTCATGCATGAAGGAACTGAAATCCAATGAACAAAAGGGGGAGGCCAAGATCAGTATGGCTGGGGAGGGAAGAAAAGCCTTGTTCTAAGTAATATCTTTTTCTTCTCAGCCCTGTCTGATGATGAAGATGTGAATGTAATGCTTCATGGCACCCAGCTGTGGAAAATAAAGCCAGGATGGCGACAGCAAAGACTTTACCGGCTTGAGTCTGATGGTATGACCATCTGGTACCAGAGCCGAGCGAAAAAGGCGCGCTCCAAGCAGATCTGTGAGTACCGGCTGAAATCAGTGCTGTGTCCTGATGATCCCAATATTTGTTTTCAATTTGTAAAATAAATAGGACTGCAAGATTGTGATCCTCATGGGAGGGGCAGACAAATAGGAGTGTGCCCATGACATCCAATCAGATTGTAGCTGCCACTTTTTCTGTTGCAGGTTCAAAAATGATACTTTCTAAATGGCTGCTTTTGGGTAACTCTTCCATTCTGAATGAACAGATTTCAAACACCCTTTGGTCTCACACATATTCCTATTGGCCAACAAGACAAGTTATTCTATTAATGGGTTAATAGGAATGGGAGGGGGCAGGCAAGCTCCACCACGACCTGGAAATTCCAGAGCTTAGCCCATTTAGAATGGTTGGCATGCAGCTGTAGTTGAAGGGAATGAGAGTTGTTGCAGGTATTTGCAGGTACGGTTATGGGCCTGCACTTTATACCTACTGGCTGCGCTTAGGGCTGGTATACCAATATTATATGATTATAGATAGGGCTTTTTTTTTAGCAGGAACATACCGGAACGGAGTGCTCCACCACTCTCCTGAACCCTGCACTCTGTAGGGAGTGCACTCCTGAACCCCTGTGCTTTTTACATAGCGCACTCCCGAACCCTGCACTCTGTACATAGCGCACTCTGAAGAGCGCACTCTGTGAACAGCGCACTCTGTACATAGCGCACTTCTGAACCCTGTGCTTTGTACGGAACGTATTTCTGAACTTTGTGCTTTGTGTGTAGCGCACTTCTGAACCCCACACTCTGTACATAGCGCACTCCTGAACCCTGTGCTTTGTACATAGCGCACTCCTGAACCCTGCACTCTGTACGTAGCGCACTCCTGACCCATGCACTCTGTACGTAGCGCACTTCTGCACACCTATGCTTTGCATGTAGAGCACTCCTGAACCCTGTGCTCTGTACGTAGCGCACTCCTGACCCTGCCCATGCACTGAACCCTGTACGTAGCGCACTTCTGCACCCTATGCTTTGCATGTAGAGCACTCCTGAACCCTGTGCTCTGTACATAGCGCACTCCTGAACCCTGCACTCTGGATATAGTGTACACCTTAACCCTGTGCATAACACATTCATGGTATTGGTACTGGGAGAGAAGTGAGCGGAGGAGTCTGGGCCTGGGACAGTCAGGATCTCTCTAGGCGAGTGGAGAGGGCACAGACAGTCAGAGGAATACTGCTGACTGTGATGTAAGGGGGGGAGGGGCTTTAGTGACCAGAGACCACCCTACATCAGAGTTCCCCTTTACATCATGGTCCGCAGAGGTCCCCCTTGCACTAAAGGGGGAACCCTGCAGATTCTGGTGTAAGGAGAACTCTGAGGACTCTGATGTAAGGCAATCTCGGTCTTAGTGTCTTTTTTTTTGTGTGTGTGTGGGGGGGGGGGGGGGAATCATAATTCTCTGCCTATAGGCTCCTGAAATCTGGCCCTGCTAGTTAATAGTTATAGATTAATGAGCTCCTCTTTTTATCCTGGTCTATCTATTCATGTAGCATATGATTTTTTGGAAGGTTAGCTCTTTAGTTTATACAGTCTCTTTGCCTAAATTTTTCAACAGCTGTTGAACTGGATTGAATTGAATTCTGTATTCTTACTAATAGTTTCTTTCTGTCACCAACTTTTATGCCTTATAGTCTTTATTTGTATCTTGTGTTCACATCTTCAGTGTTCTCATCCCCCTATTCCTCTGTCTCCTTGCACAGTCTCCATCTTACACATCGAGTCTGTCCGTGAAGGGCATCAGTCAGAAGGGCTACGAAGAAATGGCCGCCGCTTCCCAGAGAGTTGCTGCTTCAGTATTTCCTTTATGGGCAGGAGAAAAAACCTGGACCTGGCCGCCGGTAGTGAACAAGAAGCCCATAGTTGGGTCCAGGGGCTGCGGAAACTTATGGAAAGAGCCATAGCCATGAGCCAGCGGGAGAAGTTAGTCCAATATCCTTAAAGAAATTCATTGAAAGCGTAAAAAATTGTCATGGAGAAGTATCAGCTCCCTGGTGACCCTCTAGATTCAGTACCTTGGCTCACTGATTGGCAATGGGTATGGAAATGCTTTAAAGGCCTTTTATATTTCTTCATCTCCTTCTCATCCCAAGCCAGGAACGGAGTCTAGTGGGTCAGCTTGGCAGCCAAGTCAAAAACATTTAGGAAATGGTGGTTTTCTTGTGATGGATCTACTTTAAGCCATGTTGGTGGTGCAGTGCTCCTCGCTGTGATTGTGGAAAACAAAGCCTAATAAGAATTATTATCTTTTCTTACACAGGTGCTGAGTTTACTTATGTTTTTCCTGATCACATTATCAACGTTTCAATGTAATTTAATCCCTTAGTTCCACCCCCATAATCCCCCATAATCACATGACTTGGGCATTTAAGTTCTTTGTGATTTGTTGTCTGGACCTTAGATTCGATCGCATGCACAGTTCCTTCCTGTTCTATAATCCCGCTTATTATTTGTTTCGCAAAGCGCGTGGAGAGGGTCCGGGCCCAAACAGGGGCGGACAGACAGCTCATGGGGCCCCCGGCCAATAGGGGATCATGGGGCCCCTGTGTCCTTGCCCAAACTCAAAAAAGCCTATGAAAAAGGTACCATTGGACTCTCATGGGGCCCCCTACTGACCCTGGGCCCTTGGGCAGTGCCCGAGTTTCCAAAAGTCAGTCCGCCCCTGGGCCCAAATATAATTTCTGCTCTGTCGAAATGAAATTTTTTCATTTTGGTGTCTCCCCCCTATGATAGTGCGATAGGTGTCACCCTGTGCGGCCCGCACCCACCTAAGGACGCCACTGGTTCTGACCACTCCTTATATACAGAATATAGTATTTCCCTGCCCATGTGACTATATATAATTGACTGGGTTTTTCTGAGCCTTAGCGGAGTTCCTCTTTTCAGTTAACAGGTTCAGTATTTGTTCTTGTTCTGAATGACAATAGGTTGTGATGAAGGGTTTCTGGTGTTCTGCTAAAATACAGGATATAATAATCGAATAAGGAAGTCATTCTGTGTATTATTAATAGCACAATCTGGGCTCCTACTCATGAGAAGGAATATACATGCGATTACCTCTGGGTACAGTTGTGGATTATTGTTTTCCAGGTTCCGTCTTAATTGGGGGTGATCTTGGTGCATCTGGTAATGAGCAAAATGTCAGTGAGTATAGGCAGCTGCATTCACCCAAGACAACAGTCATCTCTGTAGGGATATGCAGTATATGCAATGATTAGATAATATCATTATCTAATCATCATCATCCATTACCACTCATCAATGTACGTTATAGATTGCTGTAGGGGGCTGCTGTTTGTAAATTCAGCACCCTGGGTTTGGGGGCTCCCATCAAGCAGAGAAAAATAATTAAATCTACGCTGAAGTAATTCAATGCCTGCTCTTCACTGTTTATTGCTGGTGTTATGAAGAGTTCTTTTCCATGAGTTTACATTAAGCTGAACTTCAGGCAAATGACTAAATACACAGCACAGTGGCTAAATGGTTAGCACTTCCGCCTGGCAGTACTCGGGTCGTTGATTTGAATCCCAACTGCAGCACCACCTGCCTGGAGTTTGCATGTTCTCCCTGTGCATGTGTGGGTTTCCTCCGGGTACTCTGGTTTCCTCCCACACTCCAAAGACATGCTGGTAGGTTGATTGGATCCTCTCTAAATTGGCCCTAGTGTGTGTATGTATGAATGTAAGGTAGGGACCTTAGATTGTACACCCCTTGAGGGTTAGGGACTGATGTGAATGTACAATATATACAGTGGGGATCGAAAGTTTGGGCACCCCAGCTAAAAATGTGTATTAATGTGCATAAAGAAGCCAAGGAAAGATGGAAAAATCTCCAAAAGGCATCAAATTACAGATTAGACATTCTTATAATATGTCAACAAAAGTTAGATTTTATTTCCATCATTTACACTTTCAAAATAACAGAAAACAAAAAAATGGCGTCTGCAAAAGTTTGGGCACCCTGCAGAGTTAATATCTTGTACTGCCCCCTTTGGCAAGTATCACAGCTTGTAAACACTTTTTGTAGCCAGCCAAGAGTCTTTCAATTCTTGTTTGGGGTATCTTTGCCCATTCTTCCTTACAAAAGTCTTCCAGTTCTTTGAGATTTCTGGGCTGTCTGTCACGCACTGCTCTTTTAAGGTCTATCCATAGATTTTCAATTATGTTGCGGTCAGGAGATTGTGAAGGCCATGGCAAAACCTTCAGTTTACACTTCTTGATGTAATCCCCCGTGGATTTTGAGGTGTGTTTAGGATCATTATCCATTTGTAGAAGCCATCCTCTCTTTAACTTCAGCTTTTTCACAGATGGCATCAAGTTACCATCCAAAATTTGCTGAAATTTTTTTGAATCCATTTTTCCTTCTACTCGTGAGATGTTCCCTGTGCCACTGGCTGCAACACAACCCCAAAGCATGATTGATCCAACCCCATGCTTAACAGTTGGACAGAGGTTCTTTTCATTAAATTCTGTGCCCCTTCTTCTCCAAACGTACCTTTGCTCATTGCGGCCAAAAAGTTCAATTTTAACCTCATCGGTCCATAGAACTTGTTTCCAAAATGCATCATGCTTGTCTATATGTTCATTTGCAAAGTTCAAACGATGATTTTTGTGGTGAGGACGTAGAAGAGGTTTTCTTCTGATGACTCTTCCATGAAGACCATATTTGTACAAGTATCTCTTTATAGTGGAATAGTGTACCACAATTCCAGTGTCTGCCAGATCTTTCTGGAGGGATCGTGCAGTCAAACGTGGGTTTTGAATTGTTTTTCTCACAATCCTGCGAGCTGTTCTGTCTGATATTTTTCTTGGTCTTCCAGATCTTGCTTTAACTTCCACTGTTCCTGATGACTGCCATTTCTTAATTACATTCCGAACAGAGGATATTGACATCTGAAAACGCTTTGCTATCTTCTTATAGCCTTCTCCAGCTTTGTGAGCATCAACTATTTTCAGTTTCAGTTTTCTAGACAACTGCTTAGAAGAACCCATGGTGCTGATTGTTGGGGCAAGGTCAGATGAGTCTGGGCATTTAAAACCTTTGAGATTGACATCACCTGGTCTTCCCAGACGATGATTGAGAACAATCCATGACACTGGCAGGTCTCTGCTTGCCAAAGGGGGGCAGTACAAGATATTAACTCTGCAGGGTGCCCAAACTTTTGCAGACGCCATTTTTTTGTTTTCTGTTATTTTGAAAGTGGAAATGATGGAAATAAAATCGAACTTTTGTTGACATATTATAAGAATGTCTAATCTGTAATTTGATGCCTTTTGGAGATTTTTCCATCTTTCCTTGGCTTCTTATGCACATTAATACAAATTTTTAGCTGGGGTGCCCAAACTTTCGATCCCCACTGTATATGTAAAGTGCTGCGTGAATTGACAGTGCTATATAAGTACCTGAAATAAATAAATACACAGATAAAATACATATAAGGGACCATGCAGATTATCTACCTAGGAGGCTTGCTTTGTACTTTCTCTAATAATTGTAGCATGGAAGATGGGACCGTCTTTGGGCCAAACTGATTCTTGAATGAACATCTCTGTTGTCTCCCAAAAGATATGTGAAGGGTGCACCAGTCTGGATGGTCCATATCTGTCAGATTTGACCATCAACATGGATGGCCAAAGTTGTTTCAGGTTAGGTGGCCTGCCATCGAGAGTAGTTCTTCTACTAGGCTATGGCATCCTTCAGAGTTCTACTGTGATCATTCCTGTGCTGCTGCCCGAAAGGAACTTGTAAGTGACACATCAAGACACGTCTTTATCTCCTAAATGAATGTCTGTCCATGTTTTCTTCCATTCTCTCTGCATTGTGTTCCTTAACTGAAGCATATTTGGATCCGAGATTATCTGCATCAGGCAGATAGAGATGGAGATGAGAAGATGAGTTTTCAAGAAGTGAAGGACATGCTGAGAATGATCAACATTGATATGAATGACATCTACGCCTACACGCTCTTTAAGGTGACATACATTATGTTTAATAGTTGTGACATCACTACTCTCTGAATATAAGTTATAGTGTCTGGGTGTGACATCATCGCTCTCCATATATCTTATGGTGTATGGGTGTGACATCACTTCTCCCCGGATTCAAGTTATGGTGTATGGGTGTGACATCATCACTGTCCAGACATAAGTTATAATGATTGGATGTGACATCACCACTCTCTGAATATCAGTTATAGTGTCTGGGTGTGACATCATCACTCTCCATATATGTTATGGTGTATGGGTGTGACATCACTTCTCCCCGGATATAAGTTATAGTGTATGGATATGACATCACTGCTCTCCAGATATAAGTTATATTATATGGATATGTCATCACCACTCTCTAGATATAAGTTATAGTGTTTGGATATGACATCACCGTTCTCCAGATATGTTATAATGTATGGATATGACATCACTGCTCCCCAGATATAAGTTATAGTGTTTGGATATGACATCACCCTTCTCCAGATATAACTTATAATGTATGGATATGACATCACTGCTCCAGATATAAGTTATAGTGTTTGGATATGACATCACTGTTCTCCAGATATAAGGTATAATGTATGGATATGACATCACTGCTCCCAGATATAAGTTATAGTGTTTGGATATGACATCACTGTTCTCCAGATATAAGGTATAATGTATGGATATGACATCACTGCTCTCCGGTATAACTTATAGTGTATAGATATGACATCACTGTTCTCCAGATATAAGGTATAATGTATAGATATGACATCACTGCTCTCTGGTATAACTTATAGTGTATAGATATGACATCACTGCTCTCCAGTATAACTTATAGTGTATAGATATGACATCACTGCTCTCTGGTATAACTTATAGTGTAGTGTATAGATATGACATCACTGCTCTCCAGATATATTATAGTGTATAGATATGACATCACTGCTCTCCGGTATAACTTATAGTGTATAGATATGACATCACTGCTCTCCAGATATATTATAGTGTATAGATAAGACATCACTGCTCTCCAGATATATTATAATGTATGGATATGACATCACTGCTCTCCAGTATAACTTATAGTGTATAGATATGACATCACTCCTCTCTGAACATGGTACAGTAGCAGTTTTGTACTGTGTTAGCTTGTAGAGGAAATCTTGAGCTTCCACTGACCCCTGAAATGTAAATGTATTCCACCAACTCTGTTCCTGCTCCAGAAATGCCATAAAATATATAATAAGTCACACTGGTAACAGGAATTCTGTATCAGATAAGCAGATTCTATCTGACAGCAAGAAATGAAAAAATGAGATGTATTTTCAGTGAAGTCTGGCACAGCTAATGCATTCCTGAGCCTCCCATCCTGTAATAACATGTTATTAGACCCATGTTGGGTGGTGCCCACCCTGTCTCCATTATAGGTCTCCCACTTTTTCTCATTTCAGGGATAGCAGTTGCTGGGCCTCCCTTGCCCTCCGCTGTAGAATTATACTCTGTATCTGCCTTGGCTTGTGGTTGTTTTGGCAAAATTGTATGACTAAAATTAGATTCAGCGAGTGGCACACACCCATACTGTGCAATGCTTGAGCCCCTGCCAGAGGCAGCTGAAATGCAAGCCTCAAGATTATTCAGTAAGGCAAAAAAAAAAAGGCTACGTAGCTTAATACATAGCAGTCAATCAACTTTTTTTTGCTAATCTTCTATTCATAGTAAGTGAAATCTGATTGGTTGTTATGGGTAATGCACTTTGCCCTTAACCCCACTGGACTGGATAGTTTATGAAGTAGTCCATATCTGTGAAAAGACGTAAAGTCTTTTTTAATCTGTTACAAGTTATAGGGTCTCTTGATGACAATGGGAACACATTAAAACAAATGACGGTTACCACATGGAAAAATGTGTGAAAATACACATGGTGAGGTGTGCAATCAGTCTTAAAGCGACTTCCCAAAAAAACTCCATAGAAAGGTCCCTACAATAGAAGAATGGTGACTACATCTGCGATGGACAGGGATTCCGAACTCACATTTAAGTGATAGAGCCTCCAGCAAAGTCTTCACATTCGGTACACTTAAAGGAAGTGTTGCATGCGACTTGCTGTGGCTAATCCTGTGGCTGGTTCTTAAGTCACTACAGTAGCGGCACAGCTGAAGGAACCATTGAGAGAAGAGAGGGACCATGAATCCGACTGTCAGGGCTCCCGGTAAGACCAGAGATGTGTGAACTGACACAGGGAAACGCAGGCTCAAGTATGGTGTAACAATATAATTTATTAAAGGTTAAACACAAATATAAAACGCACAATATAACAAAACCAAACCTCCAACTGATAACGGAATGAACACAGACAAGAGCAGTCAGGGCTGGTGAGGTGGAGTGGTCAGGCAGGCCGGGTCAGGAACCATCGGGCAGACAAGACGCAAAGGAGCAGGCAGAAGAGTGGTCAGGAATAGCCGAGGTCAGGACAGGCGGAGTTCGTTCAGAGTCAGGATCAGGCAGGAAGCAGACAGGATGCAGGTACAGGGGCTCATGGGAAACATACACCAAGGCACTGACTGCAGACCTGGCCACTCCTTAAATACACCTCCTGCAATCAGCCTCAGGTGATGACTTGATTGCAGGAGTGAGCTTCTGGCTGCTGAGAGCACCCACTGGCCAGCCCTGGTACTGCAGCCCACATGGCAGGTGAGTACCACCACCAGTGGTGAGTCCATTCCTGACACCGACACATCCATATCACCAAATCAAAACATGGCTGGAGGTCAGGTTCTATAGTTTGAACATGGCGGACTCAACTATTGCCGTCACAGTCTTCTCTATTGCAGGATCCAATCTTGTAAGTTCTTTTAGGCTTTAAACTAAAAACAATGCATTGCTATGTTAATACCCCAAAAGAAAGCTATATGAATATGTTCATGAAAGCTTTGAAAATCCATGTTTTCCCAGTGGATAATCACTCTGTTGCAGCCCTGGCCATCTGTCCTCTGTCAGCGGGGCCTCAAGGACAGATGTTCAAGTTCTGCTTCCTTAATATCCCCACTAGAGGAGATCCTAATTATTTCTGATGGTCTTGTATCCCTTTGTACAGAAATGTGACCGCTCCAACACAGACAGGCTGGAGGACCATGAAATTGAGGAGTTCTGTACTCAGCTCATGTACCGGCCGGAGTTGGAAGAAATATTTCACCAGTATTCTGGTGAGGATCGAGTCCTGTCTGCGGAGGAGTTACAGGAGTTCCTGCACCATCAAGGGGAAGAAGCCACCTTAGAAAGGGCACGGGAGATTATCCACAAATATGAGCTGAATGAGAAGGTAAAGTTGGGTGATGAACCAACTATTGGTGGTCAACCATTGTACAGTATATTGTTCTTTTCTGATAGACTTTATGAGTAGAGAATAATTCATAATTGACTTGTTTCAGTCCCTCCATAGATATTTACAACATTGACTGTGGATGTTTTTTGTGAAAAAGGGGTCTTCAAAGTGTATACTAAGTACTGCTGTCACTTTTGGAGAAGTGGTTCTGTGTTGTTTGGCCACAGTTCGTGTTTGATAGCCCCTGTTATTCCGTTTTTGTTTTTGGCCTCTATTCTTCTACATTGATGAAGTCATAAATGTGGAGACAATTTTCCTGTTCTAGATACTTCAGTCGTATGGGCATCTATGGTTGGTACTTCTTCGAAAGTCTGACATGTCTCATACTAACTGCTGCTGAACACAAACCTAAGGTCCGTTAATAGAAATAAAATTCTTGGATATCTTCAATGACGTGACATGCGAGCATTGGAGTGTCGCGGAATGGAGTGTAGGGGAATGCTAAGTTTCGCCAAGCACATCTAGTTGTGGTGCATTGCATTTCACATACAATATTATATTGCAGCTCATTAGATGCAGAACCCATGATCTTAACTGTCTTGCACCATCATTATACTGAATATTGCATCAAATATTGTCAAACTCAATTTTTAAAAGACTACTTATTTGGCAGAGATTGTGCAACTTTCACGGGACATGTTGATTCTTTAACAATTGCCGCCCTAGTCACATCTTCAGGTGCATACCCTTCAACCTGAACTATTATGGAATTGAATAATTTCATAAATCAGTGTTTTGTGTGCCAAATATTGGGCACACCATATTGGGCTCAATGTGTAAAACACTGGCATACAACCTACAGAGCATTGGAAAAATAAAAGATAAAGGATAATTGCAAGTTTTGTTTTTTTAGTATAGCCAACACCAGGGTTTCTCAACCATGGTTCTAAGGAACCCAAGGGTTCCTCCAGAGGTTGCTAGGGGTTCCTTGAGCAATGAGCAAATTTCTGCCTCTCAGATAAGTTCCCACTGACACCATTCATCTTTTTAGCTATCTGTAAGGGGGTAATTCTTCCCAATGACCACAAGTGTAAGGAACATTCTTACCTCTGACTATCACACTAATGTATCATGAATTGTAGAAATAGAAATTTTCCCTGAGAATGGAAAGTTATTTCAAGGGTTCCTCTGTGTTGATAAGGTTGTGAAAGGCTGGCCTACACAAATAACATCAAGCCCTATATTACTGGTGTTCACATTATTGTGTCCACTTCCTGTATTTCAACTCATGGTATTGTTCAAAGTTTGCCATTTGATTCATTTGTAATGTTAGGTTACCTTTTTTCTTTCAACCAATTTCAATAAGTCTGCTTGACAGTGATTGAAGTTGCCTGAAGTTGCTACAAGTATGGTCAGAATATTGGCCAGCTGATGTCACATAAATGAATGGCTCTGCTGTGACCTGGGATAGCCTGAATGCCTCATTGTTTCAGGACTATAAATACAAAAAGACCAATCATTCAGGTGCTCAGGGCTGGAATGTTATCATCTGTAGTGTGAATTGGTGGTGATAAGAACAAAGAACCAAAAACTGGTTTAACTGGATCTTCAAGCAGTGTGACATAAGGGCTGGGTGTCACCAGTACACACAGCTTTACAAGAAGTATCCACTGTACAAAACTCTGATTTATCACCTTGCAGACAATTTTCACACATTGATGTCACTCCATTTCTAGCTACTATTGAATAGTTTCATTAAATGAACACCTCCATAGTAAAGGACATGGAATGGGATGTCCAACAAGCTCATATAGAAGTGATCTTCAGGTTTTCAAATGCTTTTGGCCATGTGGTTACCTAAGGTCCAAACTAATATAGGGACAATCTGCAGACGTGTGTTCATGCTTTTTTTTAAGGGAATTTCTTTTTTCCAAGCCTGTAATTCCTTCTGTGGTCATCGCATTCCCTCTGTGGTCTCTGAACACATCTGAACTTAATGTGGTATCTAAATACATCCTCTAGTGCTTGAACATGTTAGAGCTTTGGCTTTAGGCTGGCCATACACAGAGCTACAGTAACTCAAGCTATTAGATGGATGTTGGTCAGGAGATGGTCAACAGGGTCACTCACTGGCTTTGGAACAAGACGAGATTTGCTCAGTGAGTGGCCCTGTTGGCCACCTCCTACTCGACATCCCTCGATTAATAATTTCCACATGGAAAATTGTCAGCCGAACAGCTCCTGCATGCAGTCGGCACTATTAGGGTATTTTGACATATCCTTTTTGTGGTAAAACATATAAATCCCACATAAAACCCAAAATTAAAATCTACAAATATAATCAATTTATACAATCAAAATAAATATTAATCACTTAAACTTAAAAATTGTGTTCAAATTAAATTCACTCCCAATTGTGTCTCAAAATCACAAAAATAAAATTACATAAAATAAAATAAAATCCCAATGTGTCCAAAATCCAAGTTCCAAATTTTTCACTTCAATCCAGTTAAAAGGAAATTGATCCTAAATATTCCATGAAAACCTCAAAATAAAGAAAAAGAAAATTCATAGTGTATTATCTTTTTAAATATATGTACTTCACTCTGTGCAAAACACAAAACCACTCTTAAAATAGTGAAAAAAAACTCGTGCAAGTAATATATAAATATATACTTATTCTTTCACTGCATAAATCAATAAATAAATAAATAAAACCCAAAACTCACTCCTGGTCTTTACCTCTTATCTCATTTCAGCAGCCAGCATAGGCACTCCCACTCCTGACTTTTGCTGTGTACTAATGATGGTTCTCCTAGGTCCATGTGCTAGCCATAGGAAGTTTTAATCCTGATTTCAATCATGACGGATACAACTGTCAGTACTGAACTTCCGGCGCTGTGGCTGAATGCTGCAGCTCTCATACAGTGAGGAAATCGTCTTATTTACCCATCCTTCTGTTCACAAAATACAAGCTGTTCTGTGAATGAACAAGGGGAGATCCTGACATTTATACATCCCACCTCTCTCCTGGTCTATTCACACAAAGTCTTGTATTTTGTTAACACAATACAAGGCATTTCGTGAATTGACAAGGGGAGCAAAAAAGGGATGTTAATTGACAGGATCCCTTCGCTGCATATGAGCCACAGCACTAGAAGTTTTCCATGAACCATCACTAGCGGTTCTTTATTTGCACACAGCAAAAGTCAGTTTATGATCCCATGACACACTGATGGAATGCACCTTAAACAGTTGTATTGTCTAGGTGTTATGGGTGCAGTATGGGTGGGTGTGGTGACACTGGTAGGGCTCCATACAAGTTGTTCTTCTTGATCTGCCAGTTCATAAGGTGTTATCTCAGGAGCTAACAGCAAACCCCACACACACCACAACCGCTCATTAACCCCTACAGCCACACGTATAAATGTTCCCTACAAGCCAGGGCATGTGTTGGCCATGAGAAGCAATCAGATATTTTTCTTCCACATAGGCTTTAGCTACATATCTGTTATAATCATTTTTAATGGCACTCCAATGCATCTAGGCACTTGCATTGTAGTACACCACGATTCACAGATGTGAACTACTGATGTGTTGCAGTGCATGGAAGTAAAAAGCATATGTGGAGGATGGTATAGGGTTATTATACCCTCTGGAGCAGGGACAGACTGACCATTTGGAAACTCGGGCACTGCCCGAGGGGCCCGGGGTCAGTAGGGGGCCACATGAGATGCCCCTGGTACCTTTTTCATAGGCTTCTTTGAGTTTGAGTAAGGACACAGGGGCCCCATGATCCCCTATTGCCCGGGGGCCCCATGAGTTGTCAGTCCGCCCCTGCTCTGGAGGTATCATCCCTCAATATTTATGTGAAACAACAGCACTTAGAATTGGGACTAAGAATGTACCTCCTCAGGTATTGAACAAAAACCAAATATCAGTACATAGAAGCAGTATTTTATTATTCACATATACTTGTATCACAAATACACATCATAAAAGACTAACAAAACGAATAATGTCGCTTTGAACATTTTATAGTCATGTTCTAAGCGACATTATTCGTTTTATTAGTCTTTTATGATGTGTATTTGTGATACAAGTACAGCCGTACCTCGGTTTACGAACGCCTCGGTTAACGTAATTTTCAGTTTGCGAATGAAAATCCATTGAAAATAATGGCTCGTTTTTTTTTTTTTTCGCAATATGAACGGATTAATTGGTTCTCAATGCATGTACACATTTTTTTTAATCATGTCCCTGTACAGTATTTATACCTTTAAAATGCACTTTATAAAGAGTTTTGAACAGATAAAACCTTTGTTGACTTTTTTCTGACCTCTGGAATGGATTAATTGGCTTTCAATGCATTATGATTTTTTTTTTTTTAAATCATGTCCCTTTATGCCTTTAAAGTGCACTTTATAAAGAGTTTTGAACAGATAAAACTTTTTTTGACTTTTTTCTGACTTCCGGAACGGATTACTTGGCTTTCAATTAATTTACGATTTTTTTTTTCAATCATGTCCCTGTACAGTATTTATGCCTTTAAAGTGCACTTTATAAAGAGTTTTGAACAGATAAAACTTTTTTTGACTTTTTTCTGACCTCCGGAACGGATTATTTGGCTTTCAATTAATTTACGATTTTGTTTTTATTCATTTCCTTGTACAGTATTTATGCCTTTAAAGTGCACTTTATAAAGAGTTTTGAACAGATAAAAGACTTTTTTTTTACAGGCCTATTACGGAAAACTGAGGCAGTCCAGAAGTAATAGAACCAAGCAGAGTCCTTTGCAGTAGCAAGAGTTGGACAAGCTCTCCAGAACACTAGCTAGTGTTCCCTTTTCTCAGACCAATGCTGACTATCAAGTACCAGAAGGGTAGCAAAGCAAACAGAGTCCCCAAGATCTCTCATTGTCTGTACTCACAAGTCTAAGGAAAGAATGGGAGACTCCTTCCAATCTTCCAAACGATTCTCTCCAGTGTCTCCAGACAAATCTTTGGCAGACAGCTTCCCTCAGTCAGCTTACTGTAGAACCAGGGTCACTCTTCCTAACTTCAGGTCGCCCAGCTGAGGCACAAATGGCAGCCAGTGCCAGGGGAGGCAAGCATGCTTCCAGCCTGGCTGGGTGCAATCCTCTCCAGGGAAAGACGCTGAACCCATGTGCTCACAGAATAGAAATACCACTCCCAGCATGTAATGGGGCTACCCTCCCCTGAAATTGGCCAGGGCTGTATCCATATTCATGCTGCTCATTTGCCTAGTTCCATCCAGGTTCTGGAAGGCTCTCATAGCTTCCTGAAGGAGGGCAGAAACTCAAACAGCACCAGAGCATCATGAGCATACCTGACTAATCTATTACAGCAGTTAAGCAGAGAGCCCAATTATATTTTCCAACCAGTCTCTCTGTTACCCCCGGTTCACACATATGCGGCCGTGCGGGCCGCGTTTTGCGTGGGCACGAGAGCCCATTCATTTGAATGGACTCCCATGCCCCGTAACACGCAGGGAAGAAGTTCCTGCACTGCTTCTGAAAACGCAACCCGCATGGAAACCTTGGTTCCCAGTACGGCTACATTTTCCAGTGCGGATCCGCAGCCCCACCACCCGCACAGATGTGAACCTAGCCTTGAGCAGAGAAACGCAGCTATGCTTTTCCTAACTATACAAATCCAAGTAACTGACTAGGAGAGAGCAACACGAGGTCATAGACAGTAATTAAAACCTGGCAGGGGTTCTAATCCAACCCCACTCTATCCAAAACTAATAAAAAAAAATTGCCTTTAGTTATACTTTAATGTAATTTTGTACATATTTCTCTGTTTACTATTTTCAGAACTATACAAATACTATTTTTAAAAATATTTTCTTTTCTTTTTTTGTTTTAGCCAGGTAATTATGGAATATCTATCTAGCCAGTATGTGGTCGCTTTGGTTTCCTTTCACATGCAAAATTTTGTATCACTCACAGTGTTGTTGAAAGAAGCCTCTTGTTTATAGCCCTTAAAGTGTTACTAAACCCACAACAGTAAAATCAGCCTGTATGTGCAGTAAAGCATGCTTGTTATACTCACCGTGGAACCTAAGGGGTTAATCCTCTGCATGCGTAAAAAAGGCTGTTTGATCCTTTCTTCTCTGTTCCTCCCCTTTTTCAAGCAACCACCTCTTTTCTCACAGTAGGTGGTGAATCTGGTTTCCCACCTGAGTGATCCTTTCCCTATCTGGCCCAGGAGGTGCAGGGTTACTTACTCAGTTCTTCTCCTGTGATGCTGGTGGGTTGGTGGCTGCTACCAGGCCTTCTAACTGGGTCACTCCTTCCCTGCTGCACAGGTGGTCCTCGCTCTGGGGGCCGGTGAGGGTCTGAGCTTTTGTCCCTTCCAGCTCCACAGCCTGTAGGTGTGCCCCTCTCCATCTGGGACCCCTCCCAGGCTCCTGCCTTCAGTTTCACATTGTCTCTCTGTCTTCCACCCAAACTCTCCTGCAGCTGAGCAGGCTCACTTACTTTAAAGGTTGTCCTGGCCCCTTGCCAAGCTTCCTGCTGGGGATTGGCCAGGCTCCCTCAAAAGTGCAGATCATCCACTCTTCAGATCCACCTACTGCTTATAGACCTTTCTCCAAAGATCTAGGGGAGGGGGAAATCCTGTTGGGGATTGACCAGGCTCCCTCAAAAGTGCAGATCATCCACTCCTCAGATCCACCTACTGCTTAAAAACCTTTCTCCAAAGATCTAGGGGAGGGGGAAATTCCAGAGGGTTGGCCAGCAGAGCCTCTCAGCTCTGACCACGAATTGACCCCTGCTAGCTATCATACTCAGGCTGCTACTCAGCCCTCCAAGCTAACAATTGAAGTCTAGCTCCACCTAGCTGACTAGGGGTATGCTACACAATAAATCAATTTTATCAATAAATGACCTTGGACTCTTGGACATTTGTTTGGTACTCTCATTTGTCAGGTGACCTCAGTCAGCATCATATTTCATTGCTCCCCACACTGCAGGCTCAGGGTTTGTATTTGGATCTGATTTTCTTATTTTCTGCCCCCAGCCAAGCAGCACGACCTGATGATGCAGGAGGGCTTCATGATGTACCTGCTGTCCGTAGAGGGAGACATCTTTAATGAAAAGCACAGGAAAGTGTATCAGGACATGACCCAACCCCTGAGCCATTACTTCATCTCCAGCTCCCACAACACCTACCTAACCAACCATCAGCTGGTGGGAACCAGCAGCACCGAATCCTATATCAGGTGAGGACAGTTGCTGAATAAAGTCTGGATTGCAGTAAACCTCGTGTCACATATTCGTTTCACTGGAGGTTAAAGCCCATCTCCAGACATTTTTTTTCAGTTTTGAAGTTGAGTGAGCAGAATGGATTGGGACTTTCTTAGGCCTTAGTGAAAATTGGTTGATTTCTTAATCTCAAAGACAATAGTGTTATATACTGTACCGTCCAAAAAAGCTAAAGCAACAGCTTATCTTCCCCTAGTTTTTCCATTAATAACGGTACACACCAGGGTTGCCCACTTTTACCTATTCAATATGTCCTTACTAAAGGTCTACAAATTGGCCCTTCTAACTATATAAAGTAGCCCAGTATGCAGAAGATCTTTTACTGTACGTCTCCACACCTATGATGAGTCTTCCTGTCATCCTGCGTGAGCTTGAACGCTTTGGCGCACTAAGTAACTCTAAGGTGAATCTGCATAAATCTGGACTCTTACATACTCCCCTTCTGGAGTCTATAGTCTCCTCAATTTGAAGCTCTTTTTCCTTTAAATGGCAGACAACATTGTTGAAGTACCTTGGGGTCCAAATCCCAGCTGATCTCCTTCAGCTCTTCATGTTGAACCATATGCATCTATTAAAGTCTATGAAGTCAGACCTCCACAGTTGGTCCTCATTACCAATATCATGGTTTGGAAGAATTGAGTGGGGAAGGGTTAAAACCTCAGATTTCTTCTCACTTTCCATTGGTTTACCAGATGTTGGACAGAACAGGAAGTCAGGCAAAATCTC